CTCATTTTGCTGGTGAAGAATTTGAGGCTCAAGTGTGGTTAAGTAATTTGCTCAAGTCAAGTCACATAGAAGATGAGTAACACAGCAAGGATTTGAAGTAAAGTATGTGTCATTCCAGAGCCCATTCCTGATCTATGCTGATTTCACTTTTTCATATCAAGCAACTGATTATATTACCTTTTGATTATAGGTCAAATTGTATTCTCACAGGCACATAAAAAAGCATAGAGCAACTCTTTTGCAAGACAAAGGAAATCTATATAATTTCATGTTTTTTTTTCATGTCCTGGTAGTTATAGGATAATAATTCTGTTTGATTATGTGCTGTTGTTGTATGTATAAATGGTACTATCCAAATGAAACTCTGTCCTTAAAATTTTTTGGCACTAGGTTGACTTAGCTATTGAATAACAAGAAAATTTATTATTTCTAACTTGCAGTCTTTCTTCAGAATGTTTTTGTCTTTAGTGACTTACTAAGGGAAAAAAAAGTCCTGGTTTCCCTTAGTAGATGTATTATTTTGCTAGGGCTGCTGTAGCAAAGTGCCATGAACAGGGTAGTTTAAGTACCAGTAGTTTAAGACAACTATCGTTGTCTAGTTCTGGAGGCTGGAATTCCAAGATTAAGGTGTCATCAGGGTTAATTCCTTCCATGGCTATGAGGAAGCTAATCTATTACAGGCTTGTCTCTGAGCTTGTGGTGGTTTGTTGGTAATCTTTGGTATATCTTATAGATGCATCGTCCTGCTCTGCCTTCATCTTCATGTGGTGATCTCTGTGTGTGTGTTTCTGTCTTTGTGTCCAAATTTTCCTTTATAAGAACACCAGTCATATTGGATTAGAATCTACCCTAATGACCTCATCTAAAGTTGATCATCTGTAAAGACCATCTTTCTAAATAAGGTCACATTCACAGGTACTTAGAGTTAGGATTTTGGTATATTTTGAGGGGACACAATTCAACTCATAACAGTAAGCAATTTTTTCTGAGATGATAGATTTTAAAACTCTTTAGTATTTTTTTAAAGATTTTATTTATTTGAGAGAGAAAGCAAGAGACAGAGCATGAACAGAAGGGAGGGGCAGAGAGAGAAGCAGGCTGCCCACTGAGCAGGGAGCCTGATGTGGGGCTCGATCCCAGGACCCTGAGATCACAATCCAAGCCAAAGGCAGACGCCCAACTGATTGAGCCACCCAGGTGCCCCTTCAGTAGCGGTTATATACATAAATTTGTAGTTGATCAATATATTGGTGTAATTATATGCATGGATACCCATAAATGAGTCATGTCTGAATATTTGTGTTGGAATAGGACTGATTTTGCTCTAATATCCTTGTAAAAAACTGTAAAGAACAGATTGGAGACCCATTTAGGAAGGCTTTCAATAAATAATATGATCAGTTATCACAATGTATAGCACAGATAATGAGCTTTTGATGTTTCATATACAAAATCAGCCTAGCTGGTGGTATGAAGTTGGGATTTAGATATTCAGAACAAGAAGATGCTACAGAATCAGAGAGGACATGGGTTTAGGTTCTGATGTAGGAATGAGTATTTTATGTATAGTGGGCCATGGTGGTGAAGGGGAGGCTTTGGGTCAATTATGTTGTAAAGGAATCTCTGGCCATTTTGGGTGAATGCCACTTTTAAGTTTCAAGGAATTGCTGTAGGATTTATTTTTAATTTTACCTTGTAGAGAATGTGAAATATTAACAAGAAGAAAAACATGACCTGTATCCCCACTACCCAGAGCTAGTTGTTATTCATATTTTGACATCTTGATATAATTCTTATGAAATTCCTGCCATGCTTTTTGATTGAGATTATACCATATAAACAGTTTTCTAAAATAAATCAGCACCTACAGTCTCTAAATATCTATCTGAATTTGAGACCCATTGGGTAATAGACCTAATGATCATTGATGATGAATGGGGTCATCATAATTCCATAAACTATTAGGTCAAAGACAGTTTTGTCTCATGTGATTTAGTCCTCTGCCTTCAGTCTTGTCCTTCACACTACTGCCAGGATCTTTTTAATGATGACATCACTCTCCTGGCTTACCTCCTTCAGTCAGACAAAGGTCCAGCTTTTTAGCATAATAGGCATCTTTGTGAACTTTCTCAGACCTCTTTCTTCTTATTTGCTACTCTCCAAAAAACTTCCTGAAGTTTTCAGAATATTGTGTACCCTTTTGAACCTCTATAATTTTTCACCTTTCCCCTCCCTTGAGACTGTCCATTTTCTTTTTGTCCTCCTGTCTAGCAGCTGCTGATTTTTTAATATTTCACATGACATTTCCTCTCTAAAGGCTTTATCCTAAGCCAATTTTCCCTTTCTTTTAGTTTCTGTAGTACTTTCTAGAAAACTTGCTATAAATTGATTACAGGATATCTCGTGACTATTTTCCATCTTTATCTTTCTTATTTATTCTTTTTTTTTTTTTACAAAGTTTTTACTTAAAACTATTAAATATTAGTAATATTAGCTTCAGGTATACAGTAGAATGATCCAAAACTTCCATATAACACCTGGTGATCATCACATTAAGTGCATTCCTTAATTTCCATCACCTATTTAAGTCCCCCCCCATAACCATCAGTTTGTTCTTTGTAGTTAAAGAGTCTGTTTCTTGGTTTGTTCCTCTCTTTTTCTCCTTCACTTTTCATTCTTTTTTTTTATGAATGACTAATATTCCAATATATATATATAAATATATATACACACACACATATATTCCACATTTTTTTTAGTGTCAAATTTTTGTTTAAATTCTGGTTGGTTAACATATAGTGTGATATTAGTTTCAGGAGTAGAATTTAGTGATTCATCACTTAACCTGTTGCACTCAGCACTCATCACAAGTGCTTTCCTTAGTACTTTTCACCCATTTAATTCATCCCCTGCATCCACCTCCCCTCCAGCAACTCTCAGTTCTGTATGGTTAAGAGTCTGTTTTATGGTTTGCCTCTTTTTTTCCTCCTATGTTCATCTGTTTCATTTCTTAAATTCCACATTAGTGAAATCATATGGTATTTGTCTTTCTCTGACTGATTTTACTTAGCATAATATACTCTAGCTCTATCCACATTGTTGCAAATGGTAAGATTTCATTCTGTTTGATGGCTGAGTAATGATACTCCATTGTATGTATGTATGTATATATATGTATGTATACCACATATATGTATATATGTATCTCACAACTCTTTTTTTATCCATTTATCAGACAATGGATGATTGGGTTCTTTCCATAATTTGGCTATTGTTGGTAATGCTTCTGTGAACATTGGGGTACATGTGTCCCTTCAAATGAGTATTTTTGTATTCTTTGGGTAAATACCTAGTAATGCAATTGCTGGACCATTGGTTGGTTCTGTTTTTAACTTTTTAAGGAGCCTCCATCTTGTTTTCCAGAATGGCTGCACCAGTTTGCATTCCCACAAACTGTGTAAGACGGTTCCCCTTTCTGCGTCCTTGCCAAAGTCTCTTGATCCTGTGTTGTTCATTTTAGCCATTCTGACAGGTGTGAGTGAGGTGGTATCTCATTGTAGTTGATTTCTGTTTCCTTGATGATGAGTGATGTTGAGTAGCTTTTCCTGTGTTAGCCTTCTGTATGGCTTCTTTGGAGAAATGTCTGTCCATGTCTTCTACCCATTTCTTAAATGGATTATTTGCTCTTTGGGTGTTGAGTTTGTTAAGTTCTTTACAGATTTTGGATACTATTTATCAGATATGTCATTTGTAAATATCTTCTCCCATTCCACAGGTTGCCTTTTAGTTCTGTTGGTTGTTTCCTTCTCTGTGCACAAGTTTTTTATCTTAATGAAGTCCTAATTCATTTTTGCTTTTGTTTCCCTTGCCTCAGGAGATGTCTCTAGTAAGAGGTTGCTGCGGCCAATGTTAAAGAGATTGCTGCCTGTGTTCTGTAGGATTTTGATGGTTTCCTGTCTCACATTTAGGTCTTTCATCCATTTTGAATTTATTTTTTGTGTATGGTGTGAGAAAGTGGTCTAGTTTCATTCTTCTGCATGTTGCTGCCCAACTATTTGTCGAAAAGACTTTTTCCCCATTGGATATTCTTTTCTGCTTTGTTGAAGATTAGTTGACCATAGAATTGAGGATCCTTTTTCTGGGTTCTGGGTTCTGTTCCAATGATCTATGTGTCTGTTTTTGTGCCGGTACCATGCTGTCTTGATCACTACAGCTTTGTGATATAACTTATATTGTGATGGCTCCAGCTTTGCTTTTGTTTTTCAAGATTGCTTGGCTATCTGGGGTCTTTTGTGGTTCTATACAAATTTTAGGATTGTCTTCTCAAGCACGGTGAAAAATGCTGGTGGTATTTTGATAGAGATTGCATTAAATGTGTAGATTGCTTTGGGTAATATGGACATTTTAGCAATATTTTTTCTTCCAATCCATGAGCATAGAATGTCTTTCCTTTTTTTTTGTGTGTGTGTGTCGTCTTCAATTTCTTTCATCAGGGTTTCATAGTTTTCACAATACACCATCTTTGCCTTTCTTAACTACACTGCATTGCTTAATGGCAAGGAGCGTGTGTTATTTATGCCAGTATCTGTGGCACTTAGTATGGTACCTAGTAGGTATTTGAGGAAAACATCTGCTGAATAAATTATCTTTTCATCTAATACTGTCCTGCCAGTAATAGTGAATATAGCTAGAATAAGTGATAATTTTTAGAGTGACAAATAAGGTAGTAAGATGACTAGTTCATTTCAACTTATAAAACACTTATCAAGCATTTACAATTTGTAAGTTATCAGTTGGGCATTGTGGAAATGGGAAACTAAAATGAAGAGGAACTTTAAGAGTTTGCAACCTAGTGGAAGACTTCCAATTTTGGTGAGTTGATTGGGAATTATGGTAAGAAACACAGTGAAGAATTGTTAAGGGGAATGACCCATTAAAGCAATTGTGACTGGAGACATTTGTGTAGTGCCTTTAAATTAACAAAGTTTATTTGTTTACAGGTGGCAGTGGGCAACATCATGGGTTGTAGCAGATGTTCTCAACATTTCTTTTGAAACTTCTTTATATTGCCTTGCAAGAGGAGCCCTAGAGCCTCATCCCTGGGGTAGCTACTATGCTCTGGTATGATGCTGTGCTGTTCTATTTCATCCTTCCTGTTCTAGCAGAGGATCTAGGTTAGAATTTAGTGGTTTCTTATTGCAGACAATTATGTAGAACTGGAAGTGGAATGTTTCAATTATACTGATATTGTGATTTCTTTGAGATTGTTTATTATGCCATATTATTCTTACACTTGTTCACAGAACCCCCAAATAGTGAGTGCCTAACTCATCATAGATACTTAGCATTGTGATTTTGTTTGAATTGTATCTAGTTATAAACAGTTCCTCACTGATTTTTAATAGATGTTAATCTAATTTTTATTCTTTTAATTGATAAAGAAGCACATAACATCATCTTTACTTCTACTTAGAAAAACTATGTCTTCAGGTAATGTTTAACCAGCTTCTCAACTCTTATGAAGGAGATTCAGCTGGCAACCCATAAAATTCTATTTCAGGAATATTTAATTATAAACTTCTGTCTATATTAGCATGAATAAACACTGTAGCTAGTAATGAAAGTATTTTTCTTCATACAAAATAGTATTTTTCAGAATTCTGGGAAATGTCAAAGCAATTTTGGCTGTAGTCATGCTGCATTTAATGTTATTGAGAATGTTGCTAACATTAACAAAAATATTCCGTAATTTCCTCAGTTATTGCTACTGGTGATGAGGGATGTAAAGTTGGCATGCTTTCATGTTTTGAGCATTTTCATTATACACTTTTGATTTTACATGTCAGAAGCAATCTTTGTTTTAGGTAAGATAGCTGAGAACATTTTTACTTAGGGATGGAGGTCAGGCTCTATTTGTATTTTTAGGCCAGTGCCTTATAGAATATAATGAATGTATCAGAGTAAATACATGTACAGTTTTGTATGTAAGTATTATAGCATTTATGTATTTCTTTGACCTTATTTTTAGTTCATTAAAACATAATGATTTGGGACCAAGGCATAGGTTTCATTTCGGTGTTAATAATTTTATTTTCTGTGACCACTGGTAACACTCATCTTGCAGATGTAAGCTGTTGTCCACCAGGGAGCTTTGGCAAGAGAATTGGCCAGATCACCAACTTCATCTCCACTGTAGAAAAACAACTTGAAGCTCATCTCTGTTGAAGGTGAGTTAGTATCATCTTCACACAGGAGAGATTATGCTAGTGTTATTTGATGTTTTCAGGGTTATCAAGTGGCCGTTTGGTTTAAACTTTGTTTTATGGGATGTTGAACCATCATATTTTATTACTTGAGTGTAAAGATTCACACAGAAATCATTAACCTGACAATGAAAAGGGATGGAAGTAACAATTTGGTGTTTATGAATATTCCTAAAAGTAGTTTGAATTCCCTCCCTCCCTCCTTCCTTCCTTTTAAATGTTTATTTTTAAGTAATCACTGTACCCAGTATGGGGCTCGAACTCATGACCCTGAGATCAAGAGTCACATGCTCTCCCAAGTGAGCCAGCCAGGTGCCCCTATTTGGGTATTCTTTCTCACCTCCATTCTTGTTTCCAGATAATACATGCTAGCCAAATTATAATTCATGACTTTTATTTGAATGAATATTGGCTAGAGCAGAATCACATATGTTATATATTTATTTAAAAATATATTATGGATTTCAGGAAATTTCATATAACTGCAATGCCAATATAAAGATACTGTTTTCAAATACATTATTTGTTCTTTGAAATAGTAGTCTTTATTAATGCTTGCCACAGGCTTGCTGTCTTGGAGACATAGTGGATCACTGTACATGTTTAGTATTATTACAAGAAGTAGTGGGGTAATAGCAATCCACAGTTCAGTATCATTTAATGCATATTTATTAATCATCACTTCATTTTACTGTGCTAATTTGTGACTTGACCTAGCCCTACCTAATCATGAGATATGTGTATATATGAGTGTGTGTGTGTTTGTATAACATTACATATAAGTGACTTGATAGAGTTACAGATGTTGCTTTGGTGCTCTTTATTCAAGTTGTTTTTACTTGAATCATCTTCATTGTCAGGTTGTTGAAGTCAGTTTCCTTTTATAGCCCTACTTATTGGTATTCTCCTTTTTTAAAAATGTTATTGTTATCTTTTAATTTTTTTTTCTTTTGGGGCATAAAAACATTCCAAGGTTAAAGACTAGTGGGGCTATTGCTCACTGACTTCAAAAGGAAGGTCTAGCTGTAGGGAGGAGAGCTTTATAGGTATGATGTTCCATTATAATTAGCCTTAGCTATACTAAATGGTTTGTATGAGGCCATGAAATAAAAAAAGGAATAATGTGGCACTGTGTTTGGAGAAAAAGTTTGAACAATTTTCTTTTCCTCAAAAAAGCTCTAATATTTCTGTAGTAAGATTGGGCTTTCCCTTCCCATGCCTTATAAGTAATTATTAAATATAATGCAGTATGTCTTTAAAAATCTTGTTTCTTGAAAACATTATTTTAAGTTGACTTGTCTTAGTATTATTTTTACATTAAGCCTCAAACATTTTTAGTTGGACTAGACTTTGGAAATTTCTTTAGCATTATAGTGCATTAGGTTATTTAGTGTTTAAACTTGAGTTTGTCTTAACTAGAGTAATTTCTATTGTAGTTATTATGATAAAATACTACTTGTTGAGTAATTATAATTCTAATTGTTATTAACATTAGTAAAATTAATTAAAATTAATTTGTTCAGCTCTATTCTGAGTACTTTTTATATGTCGTTATATCTTTACAACAGTTATATGGGGTAGGAATAATAATCCTAGGTTTATACACAAGGAAACTAAGACTCAGGGTTCAATGATTTGCATCAGGTTGGTAACTGACCCAGACTTTAAACTATCTGACCTCAGAGATTTTGTTCAAAGTTCCTGTTTATAATTTGGTGTTAAGCTGCATGAAAGGCTTATGTATGTCACTTGAGAATGGGCTATTTCACTTCTGAGGCAGTCTGGTTAGTTCACATATATTTTGTACTACTTACTGAGGTACACCAAACTGTATCTGGCAGAAACATTTGCTTTTGTGACTTTATGTGGACATAACTTTTTAAAAGAAGATTTCTTGATTTATGTAAGAGATAGAGCATGTGTGTGCACTGGGGCAGGGCAGGGGGAGGGGCAGAGAGAGTCTCAAGCTGACTCTGTGCTAAAGGTAGAGCCCCATAGGGGACTTGATCTCACAACTTGGAGATCACTATCTGAGCTGAAACCAAGAGTTGGGTGCTCATTCTGTGTCACCCAGGTGCCCTAATGTGGACATAACTTTTGACAGTCTGTTAGTATTTTGTGTATACCTAATGTGCGTGTATGCTGTACGCATGTTATCTCATATATAGATTCTTTCTTTTAAGACTTTATTTATTTATTTGAGAAATAGAGAAAGAGTACAAGCAGGGGGAAGAGGCAGAGAGAGAAGCAGACTCCCTGCTGAATGGGAAGCCCCTCATCATAGGGCTCAATCCCAGGACCCTGAGATTCATGACCTCAGCCAAAGGCACATGCTTAACTGACTGAGCCATCTAGGTGCCCCAACATGTATGGATTCTTTTTTTTTAAATAGAGATTATATTTATTTATTTATTCATGAGAGATACATAGAGGCAGAGACACAGACAAAGGGAGAAGCAGGCTCCACGCAGGGAGCCCGATGTGGGACTCGATCCCAGGACCTTGGGATCACATCCTGGGCCAAAGGGAGGTGCTCAACCACTGAGCCACCCAGGCGCCCCAACATGTATGTATAGACACTTTAAGAGGAATCTTGACAATGCTTCCTTGGGAAGCCTGGTGTATCTTTAGCGTCTGCCACAAGTGGAAGAATTGCTGTTTAATATATAAATTTGCTAGAGGCTGAGATCCTTGTTCTGGGGGATTATTCACATATGCATATAAAACAGGTAGGCTAAAATGGTGACATTAATTTTCTAACAGATGTATAATAAAGTGTGAAATGTTAGTTTGACCATTGTTGAGGAAAGCCAAATGCATAAATTTTATAGACATTATAGATTTTCTTTTCTTTTCTTTTCTTTTCTTTTCTTTTTCTTTTTTTTTTCTTTTTTTTTTTTTTTTTTTTTTTTTTTACAAATAGAAACCATTGAAAGATTTTAGGATGCAGATTGTGTTGTCTTTGGCATATGTGTAAAGTCTTTTGTTAGTGGCCATTGCATACTGCTTCAAGTTTACCTCTAGCAGTCCTCTTCTTTACCAACTAGTGTCATGTATACTCCTTACATATCTACCTCAGTTAAAATGAATACCTTGGGGGTGCCTGGGTGGCTTAGTTGTTTAAGTATCTGATACTTGATTTTTGGCTCAGGTCAGGATCTCAGGATTGTGAGATCCAGCCCAGTACTCTGCACTCAGTGGGGAGTCTGCTTGAGATTCCTTCTCTCCCTTTTCACCTCCCCCCCCATACTCTCTCTCAAATAAATAAATAAATCTTACTACCTTCCCCCCAAAAAAGCCTGAATAGCTTGTAGTTACTCTACAATAATTAGGTATTGGGCACTTTTGTCTTCATTAATATTTTCCTTCTTGCCATTATGATCTTTTCTCTTTGTTCCTGTTGAATACCAACTTTTTAGTCAAGATTTGGGTATGCCTTTTTTCTTTGAAGGCTTTCCTAACTACTGACCTTTGTCATTGAACCTTACCTTCTTTGAACCTTTCTAGTACAAGTTTCTATCTAGAATCTTATATTTTGTATTTATATACCTTTATATTTTATTGCACTTATGTACATATCTGTTTCTTTCTAACTAGACTGTAGATTGTAGATTTTTTAATGGCAAGTACAAAGGCTGTGTGTCTAATTCATGTTTATATCCCCAGTTTTTAGCACAATACCTGGTAGATATAGATGCTTAGTAAGCATTTGTTAAATAGATGAGTAAACAAATGGTTCAACTATAAAGGAAAGAAAAGATTATCCTCACAGTTGGTGTGATAATGGTGATAAAGTGCATTCCAAGGTGGAGTGCTGCTACTCTTTTTAGGGAATATTCAGTGTTGAAAATAGTATCTTTCCTGAGGTCTCACTGTAATCTTACTAGCTTCTAGAATCAGTATAGTATATGTCTCAAGTTTTGTTATCTTGAACTAACCATGTATTATTAAAATGTATCCACAAAATTTCAATAGGTGAATTTTTTCATGAATAATATATATTTTTTTTAAAATTTTTTTTTTTATTTATTTATGATAGTCACACAGGGAGAGAGAGAGAGAGAGGCAGAGACATAGGCATAGGCAGAGGGAGAAGCAGGCTCCATGCACTGGGAGCTCGACGTGGGATTCGATCCCGGGTCTCCAGGATCGCGCCCTGGGCCAAAGGCAGGCGCCAAACCGCTGCGCCACCCAGGGATCCCTGAATAATATATTTTAATAAGTATAATAGGTCTTGACTTAAGGATTCTCTTACTTCCCTTAAGGAGATCCACATGTGCTTTGGTGTTATAATCAATCTAAAGTTGGAAAAGGACCCTTCTGCTTGAAAATGATGAAAAAATATGTCAAGGAATGAACCTACTTGTTATTACATTTAAAGTTCCATTTGCTTTAAAACCATAATTCTTAAGTTATGGAATTCTGGTTAAAATGGTTACAATGGCCAGTATTATCAGAATGACAGATTCTAACTAACATAGGTTAGTAGTTTTACATTTTGAAAAACACTAATGTGTCATATTACTCCTTTAGTAATATGCAAACTTTAGGTTGGTTTATATTTTGTTTATTTATAATTATTAAGATTAGAGAACAGATGTTCTTTCACCATCAGGTTGCATTAGATTTAACTAAAGAAATATACAATGAAGATAATAAAAAGAAGCTTAAGGCTTCTGATATTGACTATATTCTGTTAAGTGAGCTTGTTTTAGGCTATATAGAAACAACATATACTGAATTAAAATTTGCTATGGTGAAAATAGCATATTCACTAAATAATTTAAATAAAATGATATAAGTGTCAAGGGGATTGAATGGAATGAAATTTTCTTTGCTTAAGCTCTAAACAGTAAGGCTTTTAATTTTGTAGGAAGACATTAAATACTGGTCATTCAACTTGTATATCCGTTAGCCTATTTCATAGTCAAAAGCTTGTAAGTAAATATATGTGCTGCTGAGAA